TGCTGTTGCACATCAGCCAGATGGACAGGGAAAACAGGGTTATGAGCCATCCTCTGCCTAGAGCCTCATGTGACATACTGATAGGAATACTGTAATTCTCAGTTTGTTCAACAGATTGGCTGTAGGCATCTTAAAATATACAGCTAACATTAAAATCAAGAACAGATCAGGCTGGAAATCTTGTTTTTATAAATGAGAAAAGCTACACACATTCCTGAAGTTGTAAATACTTGGCAAATACAAATAGAGCTCTTAATGCATGAATGAATTAATACAATAAAACAAATCAGAAAGGTGGGTTTCTGCAAAGGTTAAAGCAGTATGGTTTTCTTCCATCCTCTAGTTCCCTGTCAGTTAAGTATTGCTCTATACTTTCTTTCCTTTGCTTGCTTCCTTTGTTCACTGTGTGGCTGTTGCCTTAAGAAAAGACAGCAAAGTTACAACTAAATGTGGAATAAGAAGATCTAGTTCTTTCCCCCTGTTGCAAAATATAAATAGGATATTAGAGACCAAAATACATACAAACTTTCCCTAGTTTGTACAGTAAAACAACAGTGAAGCTGTGTATACAGCAAAGACTCCAATTGCTGTTTTCCATCAGCCTCACTATTTTAACTGTCACAGTGAAAATCCCTTTGGTTTCTGCCCAGTTGTTGCACTTTGTTTGCTGTCTTGTCAAGAGAAAACTACCTTGAGTGTCAGTGAGTGCAGTGTGTGAACAAACGTGCCTAGCACTGGAAAAGGGTAATAGCTCACTCATTAGAAGGAAATTGTCTGGAGTAGTTCTTCTTAGTTAATCACCCCTCCTATGTTAGCCTTTGTTTATGCAGTTTCTAAATATATGTTGCGCTGTGTAGACTTTTAGCTCAGCTCTTACTCTCAGTGGCTTCTTACAGGGATTTCCCCTTGCTGTCCTTAAAATAAGCAAGATCTTGTATCAACATACGATGTTGACCTCAGGGTGTCATAAACCACTTTTAACAGTTCACTCACAAATTGGCATTCCTAAAAGTGAGAGATAGTGAGATTTACAAGTACTGACATCTCCCTGTGTTGATTCCAATTTACTTTCTAGGAGTTTGGGGGGAATTTTTTTCTAAGTGAGGCTTAATGTAAAGTCTTTTGACTATTTTTACATAGGCATGTTTTCATTTAGAGTATAATATTCCGGAACTGAGTGTGCCTTTTGTATGTCTGCAAAGCTTTCAATAAGAAAGTCGTGTTCTCAGAGTTCCAGTTAACACTATAAATAGCTTTAGAATAATGTTGTGCTGAGAGCCACAGAACTCCCATTGGTATTTCTGGGAATCCTGTGGAGAGACTGAGGAGCAATGTTCAAGGAAGAAAGAGAATCCTTGTTGGATTTGACTCTCAACAAGATTTTTACACAGTGTTACATTTAGGTTGAAGTTGCCCTCCATATTCCTGCATTTCCTGGTGTTTGGTGGTATTTCTTGGAAAACTACATGTGGCTGCCACTTCCTACTTGAGACTTTGCAAAGGCATCTGCAACTACAATTTCAACAGCTGCTGTATGAAGAGAGCTTACAGATAAGCCTCTCTGTTCCACAGTCATTTCCTCCTGTCTATAAACAGCTCTGTTTTTGTGACAGTTCTTTCATCATCATCAACTTGACTGAATCCAGAATTCTCCTTCCTCCTTCTATTTGTGTTGTGGATGTCTCAGGCACTCTTCAGGTCAGCTAGGCCTGCTTGTGTAGATTGTTTTTGCATGGTATCGTGGAGATAAGATCCATCCGAGCTATCCATCCAGATAAAAAATTACTTGTATTGAGTCTTGCATCTCAGTCATTTCAAAATACATCAGCTTGACAAAAGCAGCCTTGCCCTACCCTCATCCAGTCAAAATGCCATTGCTAATGCAGTGACTGCTCTCTTTCTCTCCCTCCTGTTTTTAAACTCTGTGATTCTGATCATGTCATCCTGTTTGATTTTCTTCACTGGTTCCTTCTTTTCTGTTATGTTAAACATAACAGCTAGCCCTCACTCCCTAGGCTGTTCAAGGTCTTTTTATTTGATATCAAAAGACCAATTTCCATCTGAACAACATTGGTATCCATCACTTTCCCATTATGCTTTTATGCTAGCATCTTTTGTCTTTCCTCCATGATCAGTTTATGGAGGAATGGAAAACTTCAACAACCACAGACCTGTTTCATTGGCCTCCTGCAAATCCTTGGAATTCTCATTCACTGTGATACCTCCATGTGCTTGACTGTGATTAGACTAATTACTTACTGATGTACCTAATTGAACTATTGTACTGTGACTAATGTGCTATGTTCAGTCCACTGTTGTCTTAGCGTTTCTTTGAACATTCCTGCTTGCATCTAGCTCCTTGTAATCTGGCTAGTATTTGTACAAAACCCAGCACTTGGGACTCACGAGCCCTCTGGCACTTGGAAGTTCAGAATCATTGAGTGATTAAGGTATGCTTTGTTGTTACTGAGTCTGTATAAGTGGCTGATGGATTATGACATGTTGTGGATTCCAGTAAATAATTTCTCCCACCTCTGTTGAACTTACATACCACTTCATTAGGAATGAATACAGACAGGCATATAGCATCTGGAGATTAATATATCATAAAGTATTTGTAGATATAGGAATAATAAAAAACAAAAACAAACTCAATCTTGACCCATTTTTTTGAAGAGTTGCATACATGAGAAGCTCTCTTCAACATCGGTACCCACAGACTTTTGACTTCCTAGAGACTGCAAGTGTGCTTTTACTATGTATGCATAGAAAAACTCTGAAATTCACTTGACCTTCCATACCTGATATAAAACATATAGATTTTTCCTTTTGGGGCCAAAATAATTTGTAATGATTATTTGTTCTTTCTTTCTTTGTCAACTATTTACAGCTTTCAAATAATTTCCATTGTAATAGTGTTTTTGAAAAGTGCTTCTAAACACTGAATTTTGAAATGAAGACTAAAAGGTGCAAAGTCTTTGGGCTTAGGTAGACCTGTAACATCCAAGCCTATGTACGTTTACAGATTTCAGTTGAAAAATTCAGTGTAACATCATTTAATAATTTTTGGTGTCTTAGTTCAAGAGTTGTACTAATGCAATGATAAAACAAAGGTGCCTTTGAAATAAGAGCAAGCTATTAGAGGTATATTCAGTAATTGCTGATTAATAAAACAAGGATAAAACATAACCAAAAGCATATTGACCAAGGAGCTGAGTCAGTGATGAATAAGTGCAGCCCAGGCACAATAACTTTTATGTATGTTGTTCATCTTTTCCACTGCGTATATCACATGTATCAGTGTCTCTGTCCCAGTTTTGTCAATAGAGCTCTTCATTAAAATGAAGAGTCAAAACAAAGCTAGTCACTGAAAATTATTATTCAGGTTTGTAGTGTGTCTTGAACCTTTTATAATTTGGCATATATAACTGCAAACAAACTTCGGCAAAAAGCAAGTAAATGGGCGTATGCATATCTGCAAAGAAATGTTTGCTGTAACCATGATGGTGTGACTGACAAGTACAGAAACAGTGGGGGTTATCTAATGTTTCTGGTTTGGGAAGTAAAATGCTACCTACGTAGAACTATAATCCAGTCAAGATTTTTTTTACTAATTAGTGACACTATGAACGATGTGAGGGAGACCAATTCGCAGACCTCATGCTGCATTCAATAGCCACTGGTTCTGACTTATAAGACCAGATCGAATACCTCAGCTTATGGAGCCCAGTTTTGCTTCAGTCTCAAAATACTGCTTTGTGAAATGTACAGCTTGGCATCTTGAGTTTGCAGAGTTTAAAAATGTACCTTTGTTAGATTAATGAATTCATTGTAAGCAGTGCAGCTCCTTTATCCCTCATACAGAATAAAAGATAAGCTAGTATTTAATTTGGTCAGAAAATTTAAAATCAAATAGTTATTTTCCTTCTTTTAATCAGTTTTAATTGCCTACTATTATATTGCAAATTGTATAATTTGAAAAGCACTGAGAAAAAGTTTTGTGCTTATTAGATATTAGTATTCAAATCTGCCTGGAAGTGTGTATTGCCATGGGAATCAGTGCTTCTGAATACCATTCCAGGCCACACCAGTGATATTCTATATTTTTGCAGGCAACTTAATCCTTTGGTTCCTTAGAGACAAGATGTATTAAATGGAGATGTGACCACATCTCTTAAGAGCACTGTGATGTTAGTATTCTGTGCCATGTTCTGAAGAAGTGACTATTCCTAGAATTCCTTTTTTACTTCAGATGACAATATCTATTTAAAAAAATCTCAGTATTTGTAATTTACATGTATTTGTAATGTACATGTACAGCTATGGGAAATGAGTAATACATTAAAAGAATGAAGAAATTTGGTATTTTGAATTTCCTAATAATTTTTTTTGTAGAATTACAGAATTAAAAAAGAAAAAACACATACACAAGAAAACCCAAAAGAACACTTCAAGAAGAGATAAGGACGACTTCAAAAGTAGAAGTCTGAAAGAGAGGGTATTACCAGCTTAATCTGATTCTCTAGGTCGAAGCATGCACATTTCTGCATAATGAAAAAGTTAGAAGTCATGGTTGTACCTATTTTCTAAACATTAGAGCTGATTTAACATGGCAAATAATGTGATTGCTGATCCATTATCTTCTACAAGAATTCAAAAGCTGCATGACTGCTTTTGGGCTGGTTTACCTGATAAAATCAAGAAAGTGCTGGTGGTGAGTGCAAGGCTTCTGGACTTGCATCAAATCAGGAGATGGTCACATGTAGCCAGTTGGAAACAACGTCTTAAAGATTTCTTTTTAATGACATCTGCTTTGCAATAAGACCACCACGTTTTTGCTTTTCAGTTTGAAATAGCTCCGTGGAAGCATTTTGATTTGCTGTTGTTTTTCCATTGTTTTTGTTTTCCTATCTAATCACAAGCAGTAACCCCGAAGTTACTTGAAATAGCAACTGCTCTCCCTGAACTGCAGTTTTATTTTCTTTTGGCTTTTATTTCAGCTGTGGGAGCCAGCTGCTTCAGAGAGTGTGGGAAGCTGACTTGGAGGCCTGTCAGCTGTTGATCCGAGGGTTTCAACTGAAAGAAACCAGTTGCTGTGGCTTTGAGGAAGCGGAGAACCAAATGGATGAGCTGGAGATGACTGCTAGTGGCCCTTCTAATTCTGAAAAGAGGAAAGAAGATCACTTTCCAAAGGGCACAGAGTGGAACGTTTCCTGTCCCGGGCACAGTAAGCTGAAACAGGTATCTGGAATGCCCTACAGCTGGATTTGAGGCAATAGAGCTGTTTCTTATTTTGAGAGAAAAAGTTAAATCTGGTCAGAAGGGCAGGTTAAGAATGATCTTAACATCTGTCCTCCAATATGAGATATGAATAAAATAGCTTATTATTTACTCAGAAGCCCTTCAACTCTTTTTCCTGGAACCATCAGTCTTTTCAAAATGTGGAAATTATTCAGGCAGTGAATACAGAGTATACATAAGGGTTCAAAGGAAAAACAATTTTCTTAAAGATTCTTTAAGTAGTTAACAGAAATTACCAGCTGCTCCTCATCATACCAATGAGTTTCACTGTGAGTTAATTCTGCTGACTTGTTAGCCCTCGGTTAGCTGAAATGGGGAGTGGATGAGTTTTCCTGCTCCAATGGAGAGGTCAAAGGCTTTGTAGCTCAGCTTCCAGTTGGCTTCCAGCACATAGCCAATATTAAAAGAAGGAAAAAATCATGGGGGTTAAAGGGTCTGAGAAATTTCTTAGAAGTTTTTGTGTTCTTCTCTGGAATGCCATCCTTACTTAAATATTTCTAACAACCTAAAATCAAATAAAATCACTGCACTGTCAAGGTAAAAAAAAAAAAAAAAAAAAAAAAGCAAGCTGTTGAAAAGCTTTGTCACCCAATAACAGTAATGTGACAAAAAGGCACTCCAACAGGAATTGTCAGTTTTACTACTTTGGAATTTGATTGACAAAAATTGAAAGTGTGCTTAATCGCGTGTGCTGCTAGGTGCCATTGAACTGTGCAATACATTGAAAGCTGATATCACATTTTGCATTTATTCTGGCTGAGACTTAGCAGAAAGCAAGGTGTTACCTTACTGTAAAAATCTTCCATTTGAGTAAAATTCTATTTTTAAAGTGGGGTTCATCAGTACTTGCAGGCTAAGAAAGGTGGTCTGCAGACTGAATGCACACAGAGGGTTTTTTTTGTTGGAAATAGTATCTGTGGCTTTGATTTAGGTTTTTTTCTCTGTGATTTCTTTTCTTTTTTTTTTCTTTTTTTTTTTTTTTTTTTCATATTATATCCCTGATGAGTAGGCTGAAGTAATTTGAGCAGCTTGGCTGGTTATGGGAAGTTGTGATTCCCTTTCAAAAGTGCAGCTAAGAAGCTCTGGTGGGTTCAGTGTTGTGTTTTTTTCCTGTAGTGCTCTTGAAATTCATGCAATAGGTATCGTTTCATCTGCAAGCCCAAGTCACTTCCATGAAAAGTGGGACTGCTGTCCCCTGGAATGACATAAAGGTAAATGAAGTGTGGTGACTTTTGGTTCTAGAGTGAGTCGCAGTAGTCAGAAGGCTGGGTTGTCGAAAGAAAGTCTTACTGGTGCCTGTTTTTATAAACAAGTGGAAGCATCTAATGGAAAAACATGTATTTGTCAATATACCCTATTTGATATTATCTACAAGGCTGTGCTGTCCTTGTGAGAGGAATAACTTGATGAAGTTACCTTGTTTCTAGAATGATCCATCTGTCCAACTGTCCTAATACCTAAAGGGAGTGTTGATCATTGAAGCAAAATGAGGAGTGGCATTCCTTATATTTAGAGCTTACTGAATAGCCAGTTTCAAAAGAGTACAGCGAGGGAGTAATAATGCAAATACAGATGCCTTGGAAGGTGCAGGTAATTAATTTACTTGATGGTGAAATGCTATAGACGAAGTGTCCCTGTTCATGTTGTATCTGGCTAAATATAACAGAGAAGTGGATTTGTTTTTGTTGATGTGTATTATAAATACAATTTTGCATATAATTATGTCCTACTGTGTATGCAGAAAGGAAGAAACAAGAAGCAGAAGAATGAGAAAAACAGAATAGATGAATGGAAATGGAAATCAGATACTGCTTTGCAGGATGGCCATTTTTCATTTTTAAATGCAAATTATCACTATATATAATTTGTCCTGATATAAAATATGCAAGGTGTAAATTCTTTGAAAGTCCAGATATGTTACCATCAAATGTGAGGACAGTTTTATTAACCATCAGCAGTTACTTAGTCATCATAACTGTTTTCTAGGACAGCACTGATATTTTTTTCCCCAATTCATTTGTGCAGTAGACTATGGCACTGTAAGGCTTCCTTTGTAAAACTGACTATTAACTGGTGAAGACTATCACATGCTTTGGCAGCTCCGCTTACTCGCTTACTGAAACATAATTACTCGTTTGTTGGTCGAATTAAATAAAATAGGGCCAGAAAAGTTATCCTCACATAATCTGGTTTACTTAGAAATTACGGTGTACCCCTCTCAACCACAGATACCTCAGACAAATACAATATTTTTTAAAATGATGAAGCAAAGTGATAGACAGCGGGCCTAGTTTCAGCCATGTCAAAGTCAGCTTGCTGTCTAATGTAGTTAAAATAGATTCTCGAATTTTCATACAGACATGTACTTTCTATACAGTGACTGACTTGCTGAAAATAAGGTGCTCTGCCAATGCAGTTCCAGTTGGTCTTCTGCGAACTAATTGGACTTGTTTTTTCTCCCAAGTCTCAGAGGAATTCAAGATGGATTCTAGTTTTCATTGCAGAAATATTCCAAGCTTTTAAACTGTATGCAAATTCCATTGCCCACATTGCATGTGAGCAAGGTTAAAGTTGCCGAGATAGTTAGAGTTGTAGTTAGATATAAATAAGTACAAGTGATTTCTAAAATATGTAGTAACGTTTCATTTCTCTTCAGACATAAATGCCTGTATATTCTACTCTTTAGGAAATCTTGCTTTATCCTTTGCTTGTTGGTAATGCATGTATATTAAAAAAAAATCATTTAATAACACTAGAAATATCAACAATAACTAATAAACAGAGATGTATGTGTGCTGGGACCTCCTTAACACCAAGTGTCTTGATGAATTTGAGTATGTGTGCACTGCAAGCTGGAATTCCTGACCTATCCTTTTTTCTTTTGCTGCTGCTGTCTGGCATGCTGTGCAGTGTTCCCTCTTAATCACTATGAAGGAAAGAAACACCTACTAGATTTCAAGAAAATTGAGGTGATTAAAGTTACAAGGTAAAAAAAATAAAAATTCAGTAGTGTTAACTTTAGTAAGTCAGCATTTTTGGTAGCTTTCCTATCAGAATTCTTTGTGGATCATTTCTCTTTTTTCACTATAACTAAAGCAAGGAAAAAGGCTAAGAGTTAGAGCTGTTTTTCTTTACTCACATCTGCATTCTTCAGTTTTGCCACCTGGGAAGATATTTCAGAACATTTTCTTGATCGCTGACTGGTGTTGGGAAAGGGTTCTTTCATTGCAAAACATTCATATCACTCACTGATTTTACAATAAGTAAAAGTCATATTAAATGGACAATTGTGGGGGGAAAAAAACGTAATGTTCAGGGTGATGTCTCTCATTAAAAAGAAGTCATCACAGTGTATGACACATTTTTCAGAATTTATTAATAACAACCAACAAGAAAGCTTTGGTCACCAGGCTGCAGCCCACTAACATGAATTGAGATAGCCTGTGATCCAGGAGGCAGTTGTGCCATGTGTAAAGGACAAAGCCTATAGAAAGCTAAATAAACAGTGCTCTCATTTGAGTTTTAATTAAATGTTGTGTTTGTAGAGCTTTAAAAGTAATTTGGAAACTTTAAATTTAATCATCTTTTTGAATGTCAGCATTAAGCATCAGTGAAAGTCAGTGTTTGACTGTTTTCTGCATTAATCCAGGGAAGGAGTTGCTGTTTAAAAAAAAAAAAAAAAAAAGAAGTAGCTGGCTTGTATGCAATGGTCAGATCATTGCTGAACAGTCACACACATAGTTGTGCAATAAAATGCCACTTAGTTGTGAGTAATTCTGTCATAGCTATTGAGCTATTGGCAAACATCGCGCCAATTCTTTAGATACAGTTCACAGAATTGCACCAAACCAGAGAACTGCAGCAATTGGAAGAGACCTCAAGAGATCATAGAGTCCAACCCCATTGCTCAAGCAGGTACCCCACAATGGGTAGCGCAGGTAGATGTCCAGGATATGGATCTTGAATATCTCCATAGAAGGAGACTCCATCACTTCTCTGGGCAACCTGTGCCAGTGCTCCCTCATTCTTACAATGAAGAAATTCTTCTATCTTGTTAGTATGGAACTTCCTATGTTCAAATTTTAGGCCATCACTTCCTGTCCTATCACTGCACACCACCGAGAAGAGCCAGGCCTCATCAGTTTGCCTCCCAACCCCCCTTTAGACACTTATAAACATTAATCAGATCCCCTCCCAGTCTTCTTTTCCCCAGGCTGATCAGACCCAGGTTACCCAGCCTTTCTTCATAAGCAAGATATTCCAGGCCCTTAATCATCTTTGTGGCCCTCTGATGGACTCCATCTAGGAGATCCCCATCTTTTTTTAAACTGGGGAGCTCAGAATTGGGCACAGTATTTCAAATATGGCCTCACCAGGGCAGAGTAGAAGGCAAGGATTATCTCCCTTGACCTTTCAGCCACATTCTTTTTAATGCACCCCAGGATATCATTGGCCTTCTTGGGAACTGTTACCTTGAGACACTGTTGTCTCAATACCTGCAATGATTGCAAGTACGTTACAGTAAAATTACAATGAGAAAATGAATTCTACAGGTAAAATAAATTTAAACAATCTTTCTTCAGATAGACTTAGGAAATGTCCAATAATAACAACTATCTCATGGCAGAGTAATGACTTTATGCTTTAATATAGAAATACATATATGCTTGTGATAATAAGTATTGACCTATCAAAGCAATATCCCTATCTCAGTTTATTTAAATGTTATCAATATTGTTGTGTATGGTAAGTATTAATGCTTTTCCAATAATATTAACTGAGTGTTTGTTTTTTTTTTTTGTTGCTCCTCAACCGATCAAGGAAATATTGGCTAATTACTTATAGAATTTACAGATCAATTAAGTTTTGAGACAGGAACATAGTTACCACAGATTATTAATATGAACCATCTCTGGTGTTCTCTCACTTCTCTTGCCCAAAGTGACTTAGAAGATTTGTGCTAGAAAACTTCTGTAGACTTCTGAACGGTGTATGTAGATTGGTAAGAGTCTGGTAGATAAGTTTATCTCAGTTTTTCAGTTTTAGAGCCCATGTCCATGTTGGTTCTAACAGAGAAGCCAAAAGTCAGGCTTTAATAAAAAGTATTTAAATTTAACTTCAAATATTGGGTAGCTGCCACAGCTCCACTATAAACCCAACTGAAATATTTCATAGATGTGTAGTGAAATGATGTAATTGTTCACCTTGTACAAGTTTATGTCCTATACCGTTTTTGTAAGTTCCATTGAAATCTTAATGTTTATACAACTTCTATCTACCATATATTTAATAACTTATATCTAACAGGTTGTTGAAGACATTTCATTTGGAGCAGAGGGTCATTTATCTGAGGTAAGTGTTTTCTAGACAGCATAAAGTGGTGATATTATACAGACACTTCTTGGGCTGAATTAAAACTAATGATATCTATTTCTATAGTGTTACCTTTGGGTAAAAATATGAGAGCAAAATCACTATGAAGTACTCAGACATTTAGAAAAATGGCATAGGCACAAATAGAGTAGTCCCATTCTTTTATTCTGTAAAAGATAATGGCAAAATTACTGTGTATTCTGGAGAGTTTATAGTTAAATTGCACTTTTCTAATGCTTTTTATACAAATGAATGACAGAATGGATATGCTGGGGGAATGTAGGATAGATTATATTTAGCCAGCTGTACTGTAGCACCATAATAATGCTTAAGAATGGAACAAAATCATGATATTTTACTTGGCTCCTTGTGTACCACTAAAAATACCTTTATAAATCCCTTTGAATTTATTTGAGAAGTATAAAAACATACGGCAGCAGAATATATGTCAATAGGAATTTCACCTGAATAAAAATACTGAATGTTTGTCATTTTACACTATTTTCATAAATAAAAAGGTGTCAGATCCTATTCAATATATTTCAGCAAATTCCAGAATAATTGAGTAGCATGAGATGTATTTCCTATGAGAGTAAGTGTTGAGAAAAATCTGCTTGTTACTGTCTACATGCAAACTAGAAGTTCAGGTAATACTTGCATAAGGAGATTCATACTGGTTTGTGGAGTTGTACTGTTTGAGTGTCCAATTTTGGATCAGTATGCCTTGGGTTGCAAGCCACATATTAAAGAAATTAACATCTACGCATTATGTCCAGCCAGCAAAGCAATGGCATGGGTAAATAATGCCCTATTCACCTTCCACAATAGTGCACATCCCACGTGACAAGTATGAGTTATAAGCATTAGCCCAGCAAATTTATAAAAAATAATATAAAATGAAAATTTGCAGTTCAGGATATCTACTTCTATGATGACTTTCTTTGGATTCCCATCAAAGATTTCAATGGCTGTAGAGCAGCTGAAATGCTCCAGGAAAGAAAATCTACTGTAAAACTAAAGACTGATCAGTGATCATGTGTACAAGGGGACTGCTGCATGAGAACATGCCTAAGAACCCCTGCTTAGGTATATGTGAATTCAGCATAAATAAAAATGGGAATCCTTGAGTGTGAAGGTGAACTTTGCAAAAAATGGTCACCAGAAAATGCAAATAGACTGTCTCAACTGTGAATTTTGCTGGGAGTTATAGCAAAACCGTTCAGGTACACAGTGGATGACATGAAGCAGAAGCAGTGGTCCCACAGAATAATGGTAGCAAAAAGCTCTACTGCTGGAAAGGCAAAATGAGAGAATGTGGGTAGTGATAGATGCCAAGAGAGCAAAAGATTTTCTGGAAATTGCATTTGATTCAGACCAATACAGATGAGAGGTCTGCAGAAAGCTTGTGTGCAGCAGTGACCTGCACTGAAAGCCCAGACCTTGACTGAAGAAGTTGTCCTTTTACTCAGCAGCAAATAAGCCTGGATCATGAAAGTATTGTGCATGCTGGGCTTATGAATACACCAGAGAGCCCAGGCATGGAGGGTTAATGCTGTGGAGGCCTTTAGTAAGAAATTATGGTCTTATAGTCCTCAGAGACAGAACAACTTTCAAAGTGTTGAGGGGAAAATTGCATAAAGAAAATTGAGAGCAACAATATAAAAAAAGGAAATGGAAATGAGTTAGAAGTCCAGGCTCTCACCCACACTGCCACAGCTGGATTGATGTTAACTTATAGACAGCTCTATAAAGAGCTGTGAAACTGTCAGCACTCCGTACCATGTCAAGGCTTTGCCCAAATGTTCCTTTGACAGTCTGGTCCCTAAATCTTTGTCAGTCTCCCCATTGCCTGCAGGAGGTCACTCTGTTAGTCATTCCAGATTGTTGCATCTAAGTGACTTGGGAGCAGAGATGAGAATGAACAATACTACAAGCCACCTATAAATGGTATTCAGCTATGGTGACTCCTATCACAGCAGGATGTGGATGTTAGAAAACAGTTTGGTGCTTTTGTTTCTTTTCCAAGTCCTGGCCCACTGTGAGTTTTTATTTGTGAGTCAGTAAATAGCCTTATTTTCCCACAAGTGGAACTGGAATTGTCACAGTTTAATTAGATGAGCCAGTGAAGTATTTTGCATGGTTTGGGAAGTCTGCACTCAGGGAAGACCTTGAGTCTACTAAGAGGAGAACGGAAAGACTGCTGTCACACAGACTATGTCTGCATACCTACTTTTCCAAGGATGTTCCTGTTTGGCTATAGTGGAAGAGACAAGAGGGGAAGAATTGCCATCATCAAGCTGTACTTTTGATGAGTCATTTAACATTCTCTTGTGTTGTCATATCCCTGCAGAGGAGGGATCAGTGCAAGCAAAGGGAATGTGGGAAAAGTGTGTAATTGTGGAGAGGAGATTGTTCACAGTTAGAAAACAGCTGTCTGGAAAGCTTTATGCCTGATTTATGCATATGAGAAACTAGAGCATGTTGTAGTGCTGAATTCTCCCAAATATGCACAAGTAGGCTGATGGAACAAGCCAGCAATCTGTAAGTAGAAAGTGATAAGGGCAGAAGTAATTGGGAAAAAGACTTGAACTTAGTTCTGAGAGCTATCTCCATTAAAAATAAAATAACAAGTCATTTGAAGAAAATTGAGGGAACAATAGGTAGAAGGAAGCAGCTGATGAGTTTTGCTACTCTTCAGATGAAGTCGTATTTCCAGTAGAGTGTCATATCCTTTTGGTGCAGAAGAGAGCACACAGTTACAGACTGTGTCTATGTCAGAGCTTCTTTAGTGGCCCAAAAGAATTTTGAGAAGGAAAAAGTGTTACTAACAATGAGCCTAAAAGAATAATGCACAGTGTAAAAGTGAACCAGGAAGACCACAGTGCACATTAAATAGTAAGCAAAAGATGCAAACTGGCAGGAGACTTCAGTGGTGAGGGACACATTAGGGATAGCTGAAAGAAAGCATCGTATGTTTTCTAATAAGGGTTAATGAGAGAATAATAAAAAGAGAACAAAGTGCAGATTATTTTGCTTTATTTATTTTTTTACTTTTGTTTTTTTTTTCTAGAAGTAATAAATTGTGTCCATACGTATGGAATGCTCTTAGTATTTACCTGAAGCTAGCAAGAGAAGATCATGGTAAAGGGTCTGAAGGTAAATGAGATGCACTCAAGTCAGGCTAGTCTGATGAAATTCTTTCTAGAATTCATAGGAATCAAGAAAAACAATCTCCAAACCATTAACAAGGCTCTCTGGGAACTCCAAATGAAGGCTGAAGTCCCAGGAGATCAGTAAAAAGCAGAGCTGGTATTTGCCTTTAAAAAGGAGATAGACAAGGAGTCTGTGCACCAGTCAACATAACTTCAATTAGGATTGGAATTCCAAATGTTCTTGATAAATTGAAAGAGTAGCCTGAAATCAATACGATAGATAGACAGTTGCAAATTACAGTTGGAGAAGAAAAAAGTTATGTTTATGTATACAAATGGCAAATAGCAGCTAAGATGGCAATATTGCAGAGTTGGAAAGGAGGGTTATAATGGACTACAAATAGAGTGGGATTCATTACCATGATCCTGTTGCAACAAAAAGCAGAAGTCATTTGCAGCCTCATTAACGGGAATGTCAGTTGTAAGAAATAATTACTTTGCTTAGTTGAGAATGTCAGAGCCTCCACATGAATACGACATCAGTCTGCGCACCTCTCTATGTGGAAGATAGGGCATGCTGGAGAAAGGAAGAAAATCTATAGGAATAAAATGTTCATTAAATAGCCATTCATGCCATGATGCTAGGATGACTGTGGTCAAGAGTAAGAGGCGTTTTTTTTGGAGTCTGAGATTAGGCCTGCTATCAGTGTCTGCTTTGTCCTCCTCATCTACAACACCAGCCCCTAGCAGTGCACTCAGTAGGAATTCTGGGAGCAGGGCAGAGGCAAAGGCTTCTTTTAGCTGTGCTTTAGACACTATGGCTATGTAGCTCACTAACTGAGGGCGTACGCACACAGCCTGCATGTGACACAAACATCTGCTCAAGCAAGACAAGCATATGGATGTTTGCATTTTATTCTTAGAAATGATTTAAGAAGTGCCCTGGCCTGACTTTCTGGAGTTTCAAGTGCTCACAATTTCCATTAACTTTGGTGAGGGGTGAGGGCAAGCATGCAGCACTTCTGCAAACAATAAGTCACTGTTCTAAGCCCTGTGCCATAACAAGAAGTATCTGTTTCCAAGGGCGGCATTTTGTAGTTATTTATGTTGCTTTAAATGATTTTACCTTTTATGGGAGTGAGAGGATTTAGTAGTGAGAAGATTTTTTTTGGTAGAGAGAGCATTTTTGGTGAAAAAAATCTGGCTATGATGTTCTGCAGGTCTTCTAAGGCTTTTATTTTCCAATTTCATTGGGGTGATGATACTGCTAGGTTGAAGAAAAGCAACTTCTTTTTACCATGTTCCTGTGAAGGAAGAACAGATTTTCAGGATGTATCTGGAATCCTGCTTCTCAGTGCAGCAACCATACTAGCGGAATTAGATTTATCTAGCTGCTGGAACACTGATTCTTCTGTACAAAGTTGCTGAACTGAATTCAAGAGAGCATAGAAGGTATTTGCACTGGAAAAGTTGATCAAACATTTAACTTGAGTAATGCTGTAGAGGAGCTGTTGCTCATAGGTGACTAAAATGGCTGTTGAAAAGATAAAACAAAATGCAGAAGACTGAAGTGAAGCCATTTCCTCTGCTCTTAATTCAGAGCACTAATTCTGTGCAGCAGCTGGAACATTGTCTGCTTTTTATGTTTCTCACATCCCTGGGACAGAGAGAGGATTTCCAGTTCCCACTTTGCGTGAGAAGGCAGAGGAATTGTTCAGTTATTAAAAAAAAAAACAAAAAAAACAAATTAACAAATCACATCCTAATTTGTACCATTTCTACCTGTTTCGGGATTTTGAAGACAATCCCAACCTCCTCCATGATCAGTTCATAGAAAAATCCATAAAGCAATATTGCATCTCAGCTCTTTCCTGGCTGCTTCAATCTCTCTCCTAGCTGCTTCTTAAAATTGCTGTTAGGGCAGAAATAGCTAAAGTCTTTAGACTTCCAGTAGCTTGTGGCACTGACACCACTTACAAGCTTGAATGAATTGTATCTTATTTATATGTCAAGCTGGAGGCAGAGTCCACTTCCCTCTCAAAGTGCTGTTGATCAGTGTACAGTTCCACTTTCCTATCAGGAGATGTTGTGAATAGTGTGTGTGTGTCAGTGCCAGCAGTTTCCCTACCTACATGGACAAACATCAAACAAAAATGCCACTAGTGATATTAGTAGGCATAGAAGGCATTGAAAGGAACCTTTCCTACTTCTAAGGGTTATTGTGCTTTTTTCATATGAGGATCTGGGGGTGAGAGCTGTGGAATTAACTGAATCTTTAGAATTTTTCCTGTTTCTTTTTTGAGAGCAATGTGTTTTTGCCATCTCATGTAGAGCTCTTGGTATTAAACTAAAATTAGAGTTATCTGTACCAGTACACCATAATAAAAAACGATTATATATAAATATAGGCCAAAATAAAATAGGCCACTTGCATATACTGTAAAATCACAATCTGTGGGATAGCCCTCCTGTGAGTTTCGCATGATGTCTGAATATTTTCTTGGGAAACAATGCTTTTTCTAAACTGTGGAGGAACTTCTCTTTTCAGCTGAAAAGGCAGCTCTGTGCCTTAAAGGTACAAAAATAGTTTATCTGTACATAGTTATTGCTATATTGAAGCTGTAGAGTTCACATCAGAAGTTTAGCATTAATGGAATGCAACACCTAAATTATGGAGTTATTGTAGTTATACCACAGAAAAGACATAGCCATACAGTTGTGATTAAATAGGCTGCAAGTGTTCGGTGATTAAACAAGTTTAATTATTTTTTTTTACCTAGTAACTTCCTGCTTCTCTGTACTGTTTGAACAATTCTGCATTGAGCACTTAGTTTTTCCTAGTACTCATTTTGTCATTTATCTTAGTTTCTAAAGTAAACAGGATTTCAGTTGCAGTTTTAGACAATTCAATATGTATTTGTAACGTGCTGTAGCTTTACTATGTTTTTTACATTTGAGATATTTTACTTTAAGTGGGAATGTAAGTATTTAGCTGACAAACAAATTAATGCCTATAGTTGTAACAATTACAGAATGTTATTTCTGAGCATGTTTAATGTGAGAACAATGCAGAACCCCAAAACACAAATTTGTATTTACACAAAGCTTCATGGCTTTGCTACAGAATGAACGTTAACCCAAATTCCTTTGGGCCTGAAGGCTTGTTCGGGGCTTCCTTCCATCACTCCTGAGACTCTTCTTTACCTGACCATAAAGTTTTATTTAAAAATGAAAAGAAAATATCAAACATAGGATCAGAATAGGTAGCCACACACTAGTAAATGTAGTCATCCTTTTGTATTGCTGCTGTGAATTTCAAGTTATATTTTATCTCAAATCTTCAGGATTTGAGGACCTCAGAACTAGGCCATACTTGCAACTTGGAGCCTCTTTTTTAACCATGTATCTAAATGCTTCTCATCAATCTCTCTTATCTCATCTGATGGTGTAGGTCAGCAAGGGTGTAGGTATAAAAGGCCCATTTTACCCTCTTTGTCCACTGGCATGCAGATTAGGAATGTATTTTCCACTGTGGATGTTCACAACAGGGCTAGACAAATGCAGCAGTGTGCTTATCATTTAGATTAGATGCTCAGTGTGACTCCTTGTGCTTCTGTTTACTAGACAGGAAACATGACGACCATTTTAAACTGGAGGAAATACGTAGATCTTCTCTTAGAGCAAAGTTGTGGCAGTACTAATTCATTGAATGATTATTTGGACAAACTGTCCCACTGTCAACAGTATTGCCTTGCTAAAAGCAGTAAATGGATCAGACAAAAGTATACAATACATTGATGTTGCATTGAGCTGTACTCTGCTTTTTATGTGATGCTGTAAAATACTATTTCCTCAGCATCTGTACAGGAATACTTCATTTTGCCTAAGTACACAATCTGTAGAAAGAATCTGATCTGAATTCATTTATGGATTTTGTCTGTCAGAGCAACCCTTAGGAGTCTATGCATTAATTAAAAGCGATTGTTCCTAAATTAACTCTTCAATGATGATGTAACGCTGCATATTTTTTGTCTTGTTTTCTTGCGTGTTTGTGATGAGAGTTGTGTGAAGATCTGATTTTCTTACGAGTAACTGCTAAAGAAAAATCTCTGCTCAGAATGTGGAGGTTTGTCTAGAATGGTCATCATTTTAGTCATGTTTTCAGAGTAGTTTTACTTACAATTTACTGAATCTTTTACAGTTTTGCTACAATTTACTGAACTTTTTCTTTCTACATGAGGCCTAGGTCCTTTTAGACAACTGACATCTGTTCTTGTATGCGTGTCATAGAATGATCCTTGAAAGCTTTCTGTTGATATAAATTGCCTGGGTTATCCCACTTCCTAAAAACATATGGAGTCCTGCTGGTGTATCGAATAACAATTTAGCAGCTGGATGGAAGACTGTTCTTCATCTTCTGTCCCCAGCCCTGAAACAAGGACTTTTCTAGTTGATGCAGGAAGAACATATATCTTCTCCTCCCCTGTTCTTACTTTAAAAACAATGGGGCAATTTTACTTCCATAGATTCTGTTGAATGATGTCATACATTCTGGTATCTGATAATGACTCTGAAGATGGCTGCCAAGGTTCTGTGCACCAACCAGAGATTCAAACAGCTGATTCTCATGTGTATCCCAATGTCTAAGCTGTAGGCATTTGCAGCATAACCTCTTCCCAACTCACTTGTCCAAGCTTTGAGCTGAAGCTTATTGTATCCCTGTGCAATCTGCTCAATAGCTGTGTCTGGCAGCAAGCATAGACAGGCAGAAAGGTCAGAGCTCTGTGCTGTAGCAGAGGATGTAACAGAGGATGTACCAGCAAGCAGAGCTCTTCTGACATTTGACTCTATGTGCGCAATGCATGACACGAACAGTAAGGGCAGCATGAAATCAAGGAGCGGTAAATGTGTTTACCAAAAATCAGAGTGCTTCACAATGGGCAGTGTTCCACCAATTCCTAGCATGATTTCATTGACTGAAGGTTTGATTTCTCTCACATAGCCAAAGATGCCTGCTATTACATCAGCAGTTCAGTGCAAAGGACTATGAATACTTTTCCAAAGGAACAAAAGTTTTCTGACGTTTGTAGATGGCGACGTGTGGCTGGCTTTATACATGAATACATACATATCTAGGGAAAATATAGTTATCTGGACTCCAGTTGATGAATGATCCATTTTTTTTTTCCAGCATAGTTCCAGGAGAAGTTCATCTTGACACCATAGTCTTTTCCCCCTTTTTCCTCAGGGTTGGGGGCAGGCAGAGACTAGTCTCAGTGATGTACAAATTATTTGATTTTTTTCCACTCAAATATGACACTTACCTGAGTCATTTCTCAAAGAGGAAGTGAATACAAAATATGGAAGATATAAATTATCTTTGCTCAGTACATCCAAAAGCAAACAAATCTGTAGGAACTACCTTTCTAGTGGGTTCAGAATATTCAGTTTAAAATAGAAGAAGCATTTGTCTATATAAAGTTGAAAGTGGGCAACCATTATTTTTGAAAATTTGTACTTGTTATACATAGTAACATAGTGTAGTTTCATCTTGTATTTCATAAGAATTTAATGTGTTTTCTCTGATCGGTTGAGCAATGTTCCTAAGTATTCTAGCCAAATTTTTCCTCAGGCAGCAATTATATTTTTGTTGTTATATGAGATGCCAAAAGTGACGCTTCATGAAATGCTGAAATGGCCTCAATGTGTAAATCATATTTAGAAAAACAACCTAAAATTTAGGAACCTAAATGGTGTAGTCAGCGTGAGCTTTCCTTCCCCTGCTGTGGTGAGACAACATGGAGGAGAGAGAGCAGTTCAGACTTCACACTCCTTTAATCCTGTGCTGAAAGTGAGATCACAGCTTCTTTCTGATGGGAAATAGACTGAGATGACAAGCTCGTTTCAATCCATATAAATCAACAAATTACTGTATAGTAATAACTTTTTATCTCTTTAACTTGGATTAGGTTTCAAACAATATCTTAGCACTTCAAAACATCATATCCCCCCACTAATGTTTTATTTTCACCCTTAGTTTGATGCAAATATTAGATAGAAAAGTACAATTGGCAATAAACATGATTTCTTTTTCCACTATCTCTAGGAGTTCTTCATATTTTCTGCAGAGCTGGGGGAGAAATGTGAAGCAATAAGTGAGAAACTAGTGCATCTGGAAGACCAACTGCAATCTTCAGTCTACAGAGTTGATGAAGGTATAATTCATATCCTTTTTGATTTATCTATAGATAGTATCGACCTACGTAAGTATGTATGATGCAAAATACTTTCAGATTCAAATGGGGTAGTAGTTCTTAATGCAGATTAGTATTATACTAAAACAGATATAACTGATTGTTTTGCTGAAGTGATATTTCTTGTTGTAACAAGTCGTCCTACAGTGCATTCTCACCATGGTCTGATCTACATTTAATTGATTTAAACTGAAATTATTTCTTTGTTAATTGAGATTAGGCATCAAAATGCTTTCACATTTTCAAAGGATTGCTACAGTCCTTTCATTGGTACTGCCCACATAAGTGAACAACTACCAAAAACTGCATGAATACAAGCATCCACATGCATACCTTTGTTGGCATGATTTAGTTAAATTGTACATCGTTGACTCAGGCTGTGTATATGGTCAGATGTAACTTGGCTTTTCTTTCTCTTTTGAAAAAACTTGCCAGCACAGGCATTATACGGTATCCTATGCAATCTAATCCGCCTCTGACACTCCAGTGCAAGTAGCTGGATGAGATATAAAACACTCTTATCATTTTCTGTGCTTCATCTGTTTGAAGACTGCTTAACCTTTACAGGGGCATTTGTTAGGCCTTCATCTGTGGAAATTTTTCAAAATTTAATGGCATAGAATATTTCTCTCATTTACGACTTCCATAAAAACTTACCACAAATGAGATTTTGTTCTTCTAAGACAGGAAAAAGAGAATAAGAACCAAGAGATCAAAGAAGATTAGAATATTCAGTTACTTTTTACTGGAAAAGAGGTGGTAGATGAGTGGATAAGGAAGAAGGATGAGTACATTCATGTGATGAACACAGTTGCCCTTATAGAAACCTGAAGGTGAGCTCAGGTAGTGATGGTGCTAAAAAGTACTCAGTTCCTCCCAAGGTGAAGTGAGCAGTCATGCAGGAAAAAGTGCAGCGCAAAACTAGAAAAGAGAATCAGTAGAACTTGTGAAAATACTAGCTTGTTTTCGGTAACTGAGCATCTATTTCTAGCTGCGGCTAAGTATGGAGAGGAGAAATCCAGTTACTAATTTGTCAGCTACTTCAAACCTTTCTTTTCAAAGCATTTCAATGTACCAAAATACTTCTTATTGTACTTATCACAAGGATAACTTCAATATTCTGTCAATCATATTTGCATATGCATATGTGCTCTGTTGCAGCTTTTCCCCTCCAACATTTCTTATAAGCATTCTTTTCAGAGAAACCCGTGTTTATCTATCTTGTGTATATGCACAGCATCTACTTCCTTCCCTCCATCCCTTACATATGTTTCCTCGCAAATGAACGTCATTCTTTAACTCTAGTAGAACACCGAGGTTTAGATTGATAGGTTTTTTTCTATTGAAGTTTATATTCAGACCTGTTTACTAAGATAGGTCTGATCATAGTTAGTTTGGTATGCAGAGTGCATTAACTGAAAAAAAAACCTGCATTTTTTATTCTTGATGAAAATACTCTGCAATTACATAACGTAGTACTTAGCTGTATTTTCTATGGATCCTGTACATTTCTTTGTAGCTGCTGAAACTGCAAAAGTAAGCTGAGAAGATTAAACCTAATCGTTGGAAGTTGAGAAGAGTTGTAGATTAAACTCATTCTTAGCCAAAACTGTCTGATACAGATCTGGTGTCCTGTATTGGTGAAATTCAACTCACATTATCTAAATAAAGAAATGTACAACCTGTGATATCTTGATTCTCCTAGTAAGAACATAAGCTACAAAATATGAAATTATGTTTCAAACATAGGGACATACAGACAAGCAGTTCAGCAATTCAGCTACCGCTCATTAACATTCAGTTATTATTTCAGAAGTAGTCCAGACCAACATGCATAAAATGTTACCATCTGGCACATGTAATCACTGTGCTGTACTTCAGAAAGGAATGAGAATAGCTACCACAACACTACAGACCTATAGACTGGACTTTTTTTTATGTTTTTTTGGGTTTTTTGTTTGTTTTTTTAATAAAAACTGCCCAGAGTCAGTAAAATAAACATTTACTCATTAATAACTCGCCTATGTTGCAGGAACTAGCACTGAGACTTGTGTCAGTCAATAGTAGCAAAAGATTGCCCTTCTCGTCCCTCTAAAAACCATCTTACATATACCTATTACAAACTGCAATAGGTAAAAAATCTAAGGGACTACAAGAATGTAGATTGGTTCTGTTGTCTTCTAAACACTTCTAAAGACCCCACTGAGAAAAATAAATGCTCTTGAGCCATTTGCCAATGTTATTGTGTGTTATAGCTTTGATTAATAATTAAGTTTGTATTAGAAGAAAAATCCCAGATGTCACTGTTTTTCATTCTGCATTTTGATGGCATGAAACACTTAATTCAATTATGCTGCTAGTTGTAATTGCTAGCACAACCTGCACAAAAGAGAAATCTAGTGGAATTTCTTGGTCCTAAGTATTTGCACAAACCCACTCAGAATTCTCAGTTTATATTGAAGCTTTTCACAGTAAATATTAATCTGTACTTTTGTATAAAAAGCATCAAACAATGAAGGGGAAGGAGGAGAAGAGTTCATCTCTAGCACTATGATATATTTGCTAAATTCAGTGTAGTATAGACAAATAAACCCACAAAACATTCAATTACAGTTAATCATTGGAAAGTGTAAGAAAACAGTCCACATCATTAATTAGAAAAACCAAAGGAGGAGAGGTGACTCATTCTGGTGTCTGCAGAGCTGATGAGAGGTGTTACTTTCCTGACAGTAAAGGCCTGGAATTCCCAGTAAAATTAAATGGAGCCTATATTGCAATTTCACAGTCATTTTTGTTCTTAATTAGCAGTTGCATTTTGACAGACAACTTGAATGCATGTAATAGATCTTCCCGGTGAAAAAGCTTTTGTTGGAAGAAGAGCTGGCTGGACTATTATTTAAAAGCCACATAAAATCTCCATATCTCAACATAAATAAATGTTTTAAACAGTTTTTCTGAAAATAGAGTGTTGTGCCTAAACGTCCATTAGGCACTAGAAATTACATTGCCAGTCTTTCACTGTTATGTGACAGACTCTTGTGTATAACTTGCTTTACACCAGTATAGATTTTGCACAGAATCAGTGATACAGAATTCAGTCCTTGACTGTACTTCACTGAACAATCTCATCAAGTGAACCTGTAAGTAATGTTGGGATCCCACAAGAGTGAGGATTGCCAATGGTATGCTCTTAGATTTTTATTTTGAATGACAGGAGAAATGGTCCGTTGTGGTGTGTCACACTGAGAGAACGTGGTTACACCTTCCTTGTTCATGCTGTGACAGAGGTAGGTCAGTGCTTTTCCACCCATGCACTTGGTTGTCTTCTGTATCTCACTAGAGCAAGTGTTTCAGAGACAGCTGTTATCCAGATCACTGGAAAGGCAAAGTTTTTAAAAATGTTTTGGTGATTCTGGTTTTTGTTGTTGCTGCTAAGCAGGAGTGTTGAGTTATTTTGTAGAACTACGTCTTACAGCTGTGAAAGAGGGAGACATGAATGGAAAAGGGAAGTGGAATATTCTTGATGTGGATTCACTACCGTTGTAGTGTGAGGTGCTCTCTTCAGCCACTGCAGCACTCAGCTACTAAAAACAAGAAAAATACATAAATAAAAACTGTTTCTGACTTTTTTCTGCTCTTAATTTGCTTTCCAGATGTCCAAAATTGCTGTTATTCTCTAAAATCCCGTAAGATTAACTTCCTTTATCTCAGCCCTAGGACAGCCAACTACTTAGCTGTCTTTCCAAGGTCTTTTGTCTTACAATATACTCAGTTTCTAATATTTCCTATAGGATGACAATTGTTTTGTAATATCTACTTTTTGTCTCTTTTCTCTAAACATCTGTGCTAGGAGGCAGAAGATCTGCTGATGAACCAGTGGCCCCCTTTTTTGTTTTCACTAAAAATTAAGCAACTCTACAATCATTAGGCAGACAATCATTAGACAGATCTGCTTTTATCTTCTTGACAATCGTAGATTCTGCTATGATGTGAGTTCAAATATCCTTCTTCAGGAGGATCTTGACAGATCTTTCACAAGACTTTTTTCAAAGAGAAAGTCAAATGGGCAAAAAGCTTCAAGACTACATTAGAGTAGCATTGTTATTGCTGATAATGGATTGAATTTGTATGATATTGTTTCCAAGTACTTTAGCTTACTACTTGTGCTACATTGGAGATATTTTGCCAATTTTTCACTGGAAGATAATAGAACCAGAACATATTCCTTGCTGAAACTTGTTCAGGGCTACTGCCTTTGATACTGGCTCAACATCTGCAACACTGGATAGAGAATTTAAGCATGAGGGGGGCATTTACATATGGACCCATGCAAATGCATGTGTTTGTTTTTTGGTGGGGGGGTTGTTTTGTTGTTTTTTTTTTCATTTTTAAAATGAGCAAAGCTGATGATTCAGACATAACCTCTGTAACATGGATAGAAATTCCATGCTCAGCCTTATGTCATGTATTTTTCCTAGCCATAAGGACTTGCTTGATAGTTACAGATCTACATCTGACTGTGGAGCTATGAGTAACACCACACTGTTATTGAAACGCAAAGAGTTTATTGAATCTTGCTGTAGGTAAAACTAAGCAGTCATTGCTCTCGTTGCCCCCATCTTTCTATTGGTTAAGAGTTTATTTTCCCACCTATTTTTTTTCATCCTCCAATTTTTCAAATGTTTTAATTTTTCTTTATACCTGAAAAGAATTTTGTAATTGCTTGGGATATTATAAATAACAGCATGTAGTCAGAGGCTGCACATCAGAAGTAATTAAATTTCAGAGGCTTCATGGTGTTCATATGTTGAAGAATTTTCAGCAGAGCCTCTTGGTTGAATTGCAGAGTGGTAGACAGTCCAGGAGCACTTATAAGAGAATAATGATGTTTCTTACTTCGGAGAAGCTGTGAGGCATAATTGACTTGTCCTTGTATGGTGTTTTGAGATCCTAGGATAAGAAGTTACTGGGTGCTGCTGTGACTGCCTGTGAGTAGTCAGAGACAGAATCTACTTACCTTATTAGAGCTGTCCAGAAATTAGAAATATGCATGATTACTCCTGGTGAATGAATTAAATCATCATACTAAAAACATACAACCACACAGAGATGAAATTTTGAGGAAGTGAAAACCAAAAGCAGCCAAAAGGGCTTTCAGAGGCCTGTAACTACCTGAAGTAGTGGTATTTTTGAATGGCTTTCCTGTGGTTTGGTGTAGTCACAATTTTTCAAAGGCAGAAACTCACATTTTATGATTGCATAACCTAAGGCCATCTTTCTTTTGTTGACATTGTGTTGACATCATGTTTGGGTAAAACAACATTTCATAATGGATGGTCTCCATAAAGGATAAAGCCTGTCCTTGTGCATTATTCTTCCTCTGCATTGTATTTTTAAAGTGAGTTGTTTTGGTGTCAACCTGTTTCATTCCCCATGAAAAAGTGCATTTTTGATTCTCTTGTAAATCCTCCAATTGGTGAATTACTTCTAGAGCTGAGCTTATTTTTTTTTCCCTTGAGCCTTTTACATTTGCAGTTTGGGGTCCTTGCCCTGTAATTGTATCTGTACATCAGGGAACACTGGCTTCAGTATGGTTGAAGATGGCCTTAGCTTTCATTCACAGAAATGTGGTTGTTGGTTTGCGTGTCCAGCTTCAAAATCCACCCTGTATCCAGCAGGAAACCAACAGTTTGTGTGGTTGCCTTTTCAATATAGCATCATCTCCCTCCTTCCCATGAGAAGGGTATCCAAGCAGTATCTTCCCTTCCCTCCCCATTTTATAACTGCTAAATAATGCTACTTTAGAACTTTGCCTGTTTTTTTTTTTTTTTTTTTTTTTTAAAAAAAAAAGCAAGTGAGATAAATGTATTAATATTTAATCTAAATAATTTGGAAGAACTTGAAACTACAATTAGATAGCCATGGCCATCTGCTCTGAGCAGAGCAACCATTTATTAAATAACTTGGAAAGAGAAAAGGAGCTGCCAATCACCTATAGAATTATTCCTTAATAAAGCTTGCACAGTCTCTGCAGAGGGAGATCCAGGTGGTGAAGGAGACGCTCCAGACCGTGCTGCTGCAACTTCAGCCAGCCAGGGAGGCAGGGGACGAAAAAGCTGGAGACTTCCTCTGTGACAGCTGGTATCCAGGAAAGCAGGACTCGAAGGAATAATGAGCAGAAAGAGCTGGTAGGATGACATTAATACACAAAGGGCTGCTTTTAGTAACTGAATACTCTTTTACCAAGCCTCAGGGATCTCTTCCCTCCCTGCATAACTAATAACTAAATCAATTATGGAGAAACAGAGCCTGGAGGTCTATCATCAGAAGTATTCTACACAGCCTCGCATGTTTTGGCACAGATTGGGAAACAGCTTTCAGAGCAGAGCATCCCTTGTAAATGTGTAGATTACAAATTGATACATTTCAAGTGAGTCTGCAAAGTTGCCTTTAATGTCAGTGAAATGTTCTCCTTGAAGACTTGTAAACAGTATCTGTCTTCCTTACTCACGGATTTTTTCCCATTTAAAAAATGTAGTGTTAAAGCTGGAACATCTAGTATTTCTCAAAAAAATAGCTGTAAGAACAAGAACTTTTGTGGTTTTTTTTTTTTTTTTTTTTTTTTTAATTTCCCCCCCCCCTTTGGCTTTAGCAGCTTTCTTACACTGAATGTATTTACACATTCCTACCAATAATTAAATCAACAGGATGAAATTCAAGCTAACAGAGTTCTTTTAAGTGAAATTTGAAGCTTATTTACTCAATGGTATTGAGTACAGAAAAGGTAACTAACAGCAGCCCCTACAGCAGTAGTTCAACTGTTTTCATTAGGTATTAATATAAAGTTGTTTTAGTATTACAGGGATTGTAAAATACACACAGAATACTTTGTTGGTGATTTGTGCTCCTTTTATTTAAGTATGGTATGACCAATATGTCATTTAAGTTGCCTTGTAAAGTTTACTATTACTGTTGTATTACTTTGATCTTCCTTCTTATAAACTCCAGAAGGAATGCAGATTTTTTTTTTTTTTTTTTAACTCCTGTCAGACACATATGTATACTTAAACATGTATTTGTAATAGGAAAGAGAAGCAATGTTCCATTGAAGCCAGCTAACACAAGTGACCTATATTTAGATCACTGCTCAAAACAGTTAAATCTTTGAAGGAATTCAGATTGAACACTTGGATACCCAAATGTATCTGATATTATCTCATATCACAAAGTTCTACTTCTGCCATCTAGTGCAGAGGGAGAACTTACAAACAAATTATCACTGGCCTCCTTTTTTAAGCCACTAGAACAAACAAGTGTCCTGCAACTCATTACTGTACTTTGATACTGTTAGTATGACATTTTAAAGACTACTTTGTTTCTGCTTCTTCAGTTACACATTTTGTAGCCACATTGGGAAAGTTTTTGCCAATTTTGAAGGTCCTTGAACTACTGGCCCACTACAACTGTGTTCATTTTCTTTTGTGTGTTTTAATACTGGCTGAAACTTCTACCTCAGTGTTAAGGACATAGGAAAGAAAAAAAGTGCTAGGCAGCTGCCACGTACAACCAGATTATGACTGCATACAGGGGCACAGCTCAGGTGGTTCCTGGAATCGTTGGATCCTCAGGATAGAATTACAGCCCTGTAATTCAGAACATGGTCAACTTTTTCATTGTATAATATATGGATCAGCATCTGTAGTGTGGTAAAGATGCTTGGACCTTTACCTTACATGGACTCCAGTACTGCTCCCATGACTCTAGTCTCAGACAGAAGTCTCTGATGCTCTGCTACTGCTCTTACAGGCCTGTTTCTCCCTGGCAGCTTCCTGCCTCTCCTCAGTATATTTAGCATTTTCTGAAACCAACAAGCACATGGCAGCTTGTGTTTCACCGACATTCAGCTCATGAAAAGCCATGGGGAACCCTGCCTGGGCACAGGGGACACAATTGTTAGACAAAAGATGCTCATGGAAATACACCTGAATATAGGTTTAAAAAAAATATATATATATTTATATATATATATATATATAAATATATATATATATTTATATATATAAATTTATATATATATAAATCTCTCCTACTATGATATTAAGGCTGCTTATGGGTTAATACCATAAACTTCGAGTAGTGAGCAGTTACAGAGCTATAAGCTCACTGCAAAGATAGCCCAGATATGCAGTGCACTAAGACTGCACCGCTCCTCTCTCCCTCATGCTGAGGATTTTGTGGAGCTTTGTCCTTTACAATCCTGAGTGTCTGAAAGCCAAGATCAGCCACAGCCCACAGCTGAGGTGAGAGACTTTCCTCATGGCAGCAGCAGCAACAGGGACTATAACCCTCACGGGGACAGGACAACTGCATTCGTGTTCTCAGTAGTACAATCTTTTGTAGACATTTCCACTCCTTCACTTAAGAAAAAAAAAAAAAAAAAAAAAAAAAAAAGGAAAGCCAAATCAATCATTCTTATCATATTTGTATGTATTAACATTTATTTTATAATGTGGACTACTATTACTTTAATTTATTATTCCATTAACTTCACCGTTTTTGTGGGAAGTTAGAGCCAGTAACCATTCCTTCTCAGATATGTTGAATAATAAGCATAATTAAAAAAAAAAAAAAAGCACAAAGAAGGTGTACTATGCAACTTATCAGCTGCCTTTTAGCTGTGGATAGAAAGCTTTCAAATAAAGAGAAACATTATTTTAACTAACCAAATGTCTGCCTGGATTCCTTACAGTGCACAAGCATTCACAGATTTCACCCTGGAGAGAGAGGGATGAGGAGGAGAGGGAGGAGTGGAAAGGAGAAAATACGCATGACTATTATTATGTTTTGACAACAGTGAGTCCTACACTTGAGAAATTCATAGAATCATCACAGAATCACAGAATGGCTGGGGGTGGAAAGGATCTTAAAGATCACCTAGTTCCAACCCCTTGCCTTGGGCAGGGTTGCCAAATTTTGTGCTGCCTTTTGGAAACAGCCTAAAAATACATTCAAAGCTAGAGTCACGGTGAGCTATACAGACAGGTGTGCCTTCAGCCCTGGATTGCATTAGCCTGCCTGTGTCACTCCCCCTGGAGAAGGGCTGGGTGTAGGGATGTATGTCTACATCAGCTACAAAACTATCACAGAATCATTAAGGTTGGAAAAGACCCTTAAGATCATCATGTCTGATTGTCCAACTACTATCAGTATTTCCCGCTGAACTATGTCCTTAAGTAACACATCTCCATATTTCTTGAACACCTTCAGAGACAGTAACTCCACTACCTCCCTAGGCAGCCTGTGCCAATGCCTCATGACTCTTTAGAGAGAAAGTTTTTCCTAATATCCAACAGTTTGAGGCCATTCCATCAGTAGTTTCATACATACATGCTAGGATGCTGTCACCTCCAGGTAGATACTGGTCTCTCACCATCTGCGAACATGCCTTTTTCTGCCTGGCACACATACTCTTCCCAGCTAAGATTCTAGCCCTCAAGAGGTTTGAGGAGTAGGCAAAGCTCTGTGCACAGAAACCTCCACTCCAGCACTGGGAAGTGCAGGAAGAGGCATCAGCTCACCTCAGCCACAAAAGTGTATTTGCATTAGAGGAGGAGGACTGAGCTTTGTTTAACACCTGCACACACAAACATACCCAAGGGCAGAAAGAAGGATGATGCAAAGGGGACAGGCATCCCCAAGAAGTCTTTAGCTCCAGCCTAATGTTTTTCCTCACTCAATTAATTAATCTGTTCTTTCTGAAGCCTGACATTCAGTCTTTTCCTTTTGCTATGTTACTTGTTAAATCAAGATAAGCACACTTTTTCTAGAGCACTCAAGAAGGAAGTAAAATAACAGCTCCCAGATAGGCAGCAGAGCTGGAGGGAGCTTCAGGGTGAGATTAGAATAATCCTCATGTATCCTCTTAGCTTACTATCCTATTAAAAATGAGACTGGGACCAAGAGATTTTTTTAGTCTCCGAGATTAACATATGCTACAAAGAAGCTCTAAAATATTACGCACATGCGAATATTTTTCTGCACTACTAAAGAGGATAATACAAGTTTCTGGAGAGAGATATTTAAAACAAGACAAACAAAAAAACACCCTATGGATGCAAGAGATTCTTTCTGAACCTGAAAAGCAGCCAAACCAGCAGACACAGTAAAGCATTTCTCCTAAATTTCTGATGAAGTCTCAAGTATGACACCTTGGAAAAGAGCATATGAGGTTGGGTGAGTAAAGAAAAGTCATCTTCTTAACATGCATGGCATTCAGTCCCTCTCTCCTTGTTGAATAAGATCTTAAGGAAGGGGGTGTTGGGGCATTGTCAAAGACACAGGTAAAAATCAATACATCACTGGGCTATTTGTTCTTATAATAGCCTGCAAAGTTGAACAAATAGTTCATAATAATAAGCTGCAATACAGGAATACTAAGTGGAGAAAAAGAGAGATAACAGGAAAATAATCAGAGTGGCAGCTAAAAGATGCATGATAGATCTCACTGTAGAAATGGAAAATTAAAAAGCCTTTCCACAATGACAACCCAATTTACAAGGGGAAAAAAAGAATGTCACATCTATTATTTTTCCAACAGAGACTGAAAAATGCCAAAATGCACCCCTCTCGTCTGTCTCACCAAGTAGACACAAACCTTGAGTGTATTGGTTTGCCCCCAAAACACAGAGCTTTGTGTCTACACTCAGGCTTCCCAGTACAAGCAGCCCTAATGCAGGACTCATAAGCAGCAAACCTGAAGCCAGGCACTTGTCAGCACACACCTATCACAGCTTCTTACTTCTTTACATCCCTATGCTGCAGGAGTTTTCAGCAGCAGGAATTCTTACAGCAGCAGCTAAATGGTTGCCCACAACTTCCCAAGAAACATGGCATTGCCACTTGCCCACGCTGCCTGGTGGACTTCATGAGCACTGCCAGTTCTGCTGTGCCCACAGTATAAAAGCAGATTTGGTTTCAGGAAAGGAGGTACAAGATTGACTGGAAGTTAGGAAAACTCTCTTATTACAAAAGAATAACAGAGCTCAGTATGAATAACTTAGCCTGCTAAATGCCAAGATGTGATCCACTCACGTTCAGGGAAGGCTTTCCAGTGTCTACAGGCTGTTTTGTCTAGCAGAATGCTCCACAAAGAGAAGACAAGGCATTTCTTGCAAGGAGAGTGAAT